GCCCCAGCAGCTTCCTAGGGGTCGCCTCCCTGTTGCTGCTGCTGCTGCTGCTGCTGCTCCTCCTCCTCCTCCCATTCCTCCACCACATCACATCACAAGAAACCTGGAACGAGAGAGAGACTTCCCCGTGTATGAAGCCAGAAACCGACCATCATTCATTCCTGAATGTGCAGCTTTCCGTGATGAGGACCCCGAAGAGGAACAGAGGGCGAACAGAACTTTGTTTCTTGGCAACTTGGACATCAGTGTTAAAGAGGAGGACCTAAGGAGAGCGTTTGACAGGTTTGGGGTCATAACAGAGGTGGACATAAAGCGAGCAACACGAGGCCAGAACAGCACATATGGATTCATCAAGTTTGAGAATCTTGACATGGCTCATCGTGCCAAAGTAGCAATGTCAGGAAAGTTAGTGGGCCACAACCCGGTTAAAATTGGATATGGAAAACCAACGCCCACCACTAGGCTCTGGGTGGGAGGACTTGGACCTTGGGTTCCGCTCGCTGCTCTGGCTAAAGAGTTTGACCGTTTTGGCACCATCAGAACTATTGACTACAGAAAAGGTGAAGCATGGGCTTATATTCAGTATGAAAGTTTGGATGCTGCCCAGGCTGCATGTAACCACATGAGAGGCTTCCATCTTGGTGGTCCAGACAGGAGGCTCAGGGTGGACTTTGCAGACACAGAGCACCGCTACCAGCAGCAACAGTTCATGCAGCTCCCTCTGCCTCTGCCTCTGCCGCACTATGACTTAGTTTCTGAGCCCTTTGCCCACGGTCTCACTGACTCTGTGCGAGTAAGAGAGCGGTCACCGCCACGCTTCAGGGACAGAGACATGTACCAAGCGGCTGGATGGACCGGTCTCGGTGCCCATGACAGGACACATGGAGCAGGCTTCGATCCTGTGGACCGTCTGGAGAGGCGTTCGCGTGAAGCTTGGACACAGGACCACGAGAGAGAGTTGCAAAACAGAGATATCGGCCACAAAAGAAGACAAATGGAAAATGGTTGGTGGCCTGATCGCACAGCCGACAATAATGTTCCACGTCGTCATGGCAACTCTCTAGAGAGGAGCCCGGGAGGCAGTAGCGGAGATGGGGACAAATACAGAGACCCTGAGCGTCTACCTCGCTCTGGAAGACCTTCACCTAACAAAGAACAGCTTAATATTCAGGACACTGGCTTTAGAGATAAGCGGAGAAGAGCACAAATCCCAGGGGAACCGGGCTCATCTGACTGGGACCATAAACACAAAGCAGGCGACTCTAAAAGCCCAGCAAAGAAGGAGAACCAGTCCGAGCACGCTTCTAAAATATCCTCCTCAAAGTCAAACCAGCAGCCAAAGGAACCAGAGGGAGGACAGAAGCTGAGTCAGGTTTGGCAAGGTGTCCTTCAGCTGAAAAACACCAGTTTTCCCACATCACTCCACCTCCTGCAGGGGGACAAGACGGTGGCCACCAGTCTGCTAGTGAACAGCCCCTCCGGTGATCCGGTGGGCCAGCTGAAGATCAGCCAGCGCCTGCGTTTAGACCCACCCAAGCTGGACGAAGTCTCCCGTCGCCTCAAGGCCAACGCCTCCGGTGGATACTCCATCCTTCTGGCTGTGCCTGAAAACAAAGATGTGGCTCCCAATCCCAGTAGCTCCACGGAGAAATCTCTGAAGTACCTGGTGTCGTACCTGGCGCAGAAGGAGGCGGCTGGTATAATCAGCCTTCCTGTGGGGGGAGGCGACAAGGACAACGGAGGAGTCCTTCACGCTTTCCCCCCGTGTGAGTTCACAAAGCAGTTTTTGGATGCCTCTGCTACAGAGTTCCTCAAAGCAGAGGACGACTACTTGGTGATGGTCATAATCAAAGGAGCATCGTAATAAAAAAAATGTTCATAAATATGTCTATTTACACCAATATACTGTTAAACTTTGAGCTGTTAAAAAAAAATAATAGGGAACACGTCCTGCATTGTAGCCCTTGTCTCATGTTAAAAAAATGAAAGTCACTTTGTCAAGTTTGTTAACGAGTGCATTATTTATAAGTAATGTGCTGAAATAGCAGTTTAAAATCCCGACTGAGTGATAGGGCCAAAAAACCTCATGCTGATAAAAATGTCATTTAAGAACCAAGTTAGAAATATGTCAAATGTTGCTTATGGGTTGTTCAATCCATGTTGACAAGACTAGCAATAAATGTTGTTTCTTATTTTTATTTGCTTTAAATTTTCAACTTAAATTTTCAGTTCATTAATTTTGTATTATTCATTGGTGTGCAGCATTCTCTCATCATTCCTATGGCCTGTTTTTTTTTTTTTTTACCATAGGAACCCAGACTGATGTGGTCAAGAACTTAGTATTAAAGTTAACATGTTCAACAGCAACACCTTGAGGTTATTTCTATACATTGCAGTTTTCATTTATTCATTGTTTCCAATTGTTTGTGGTATTGACAAAAAACAACAGTGATTTATAATATGCAGTTAAAGTCATATTTTTTTCCATATTTTTTCGCAAAACTTGTTTGATTTTTTTTTATTTTAACGTTATTGGGATCATTGAACCGAGTTATACTGAAGTTAATCCTCAATTTCAAATGATCAGTAATCGTTCTCACTGTTCTAGACTTGGTTCTTTCAGCATCTACAGTTTTTGCTTTGATAAAGAAAAGAAACAATTATTCAGATAAATTGGAAACAATATTTTTCCTCTTGTTTAACACATTATTTATACAGAAAATGTGCAGATTGTTTTTTTGTTATGATTTTAGTTCACAACAAATACCTTTAAAAAGTAAAATAACACACTTCAGTCCAGTAGCTGTGTGTTTTGGGCAAAGATAAGAAGTTAACGAAACGCCAACAGACTTTTTTTTTTCACATCTCAATGTTATCATAATATTACAGGTGCAATGCAACATGAGCCAGACTTTAACGTTACTGTTTTTCACATCTTAAAACACATCAGTTTTACTGTTTTTGTTGTGGTCACGTCCTGATGTAACCACGCTAAAGGAAAACAAAAACATAAAAGTGAGTGACTGAGCTGTTGTTAATTGTAATTACTGGATGAGACAAAGTTACATCTCAGAGAAGGTTCATGTTGCATTGTATGTGTGTTGAAGTTTTGAACACGTGTTGAATGTGAAACGTTTTTGCAACAAATGTTTTGTTTTTAATTACTTTACTAGCATAATTAACTGTTGAAATCACAAGCTTTGCTTAAACGTGTTCATGCCGGGCTCTTATTTTGAAGTTCTATAAATACCAGATTCCAGTTTTTTGTTCTCCTTTATTTGTTTGAAATGTGTTCGAACATCTCTTGATTGATTTTCTTTACTTGAGTTCTCACAAAAGTCTTAGACATGAGAACTACACCACACGGTGTTTAATGTCAACCACAAAGTTCTGCCCTGTGGCTCAGTGGACCCGTGTTACGCACCTCTTTGAACGCACCAGAGGACAGACGGCGGCGGCGGCGGCCTTCCTCTGACGGCCTGCCATTGATTTATTTTTTTCATGCTTTGATTACGAGTGCTGTGTTTCAAACTGGAGAAAGTGAAGAGATTTGTTCTGTAAACTCAGGATTTCAGGAGAGAGAAACGGAGAACGCCTTCGGCCTAACAGAAGTTTACCTAACTGTCAGAAAAACAAACCCAACGTGCAGCACGCACTAGCTTTTGTGTCAATAAATTTACTCATTCGTGGGAAATCCAAGTGCCTCGGAAGACAGCTTTTGTGACCTTTTTCTATTCTCGGAGCTTTCTATCAAGTTCTAAAGGCTTTATCACTCTGACAGCAGGAACCTTTCCAGCAGGGAGGAGAGCTCAGTGTTGTGTATCCTTTGTTTCGCTGACCTTCTCTGAAACGCTTTCTGCGGCCCAGACTAGAATACTGTTGTAAGTGCATCCTCAAGCCTCTGCGTTTTCTACAGATACCCCCCCGCCCCCCCGCCCGCTACCTCCCCCCTTTTACCTTCTGAACGTGAAGCGTGGGTC